ACCAAGCTGGCTGTGTTCGCATGTGCAGAGTGCAACTAGCAGCGTCCGTTGTTCACGTTGCGCAACAAGGACGATGAACCAAGCTGGCTGTGTTCGCATGTGCAGAGTGCAACTGGCAGCGTCCGTTCTTCACGTTGCGCAACAAGGACGATGAACCAAGCTGGCTGTGTTCGCACGTGCAGAGTGCAACTGGCAGCGTCCGTTCTTCACGTTGCGCAACAAGGACGATGAACCAAGCTGGCTGTGTTCGCATGTGCAGAGTGCAACTGGCAGCGTCCGTTCTTCACGTTGCGCAACAAGGACGATGAACCTAGCTGGCTGTGTTCGCACGTGCAGAGTGCAACTGGCAGCGTCCGTCGTTCACGTTGCGCAACAAGGACGATGAACCAAGCTGGCTGTGTTCGCATTTGCAGAAAGCAACTGGCAGCGTCCGTTCTTCACGTTGCGCAACAAGGACGATGAACCAAGCTGGCTGTGTTCGCATGTGCAGAGTGCAACTGGCAGCGTCCGTTCTTCACGTTGCGCAACAAGGACGATGAACCAAGCTGGCTGTGTTCGCACGTGCAGAGTGCAACTGGCAGCGTCCGTTCTTCACGTTGCGCAACAAGGACGATGAACCAAGCTGGCTGTGTTCGCATGTGCAGAGTGCAACTAGCAGCGTCCGTTCTTCACGTTGCGCAACAAGGACGATGAACCAAGCTGGCTGTGTTCAAGCTGGCTGTGTTCGCACGTGCAGAGTGCAACTGGCAGCGTCCGTTCTTCACGTTGCGCAACAAGGACGATGAACCTAGCTGGCTGTGTTCGCATGTGCAGAGTGCAACTGGCAGCGTCCGTTCTTCAAGTTGCGCAACAAGGACGATGAACCAAGCTGGCTGTGTTCGCACGTGCAGAGTGCAACTGGCAGCGTCCGTTCTTCACGTTGCGCAACAAGGACGATGAACCAAGCTGGCTGTGTTCAAGCTGACTGTGTTCGCATGTGCAGAGTGCAACTGGCAGCGTCCGTTGTTCACGTTGCGCAACAAGGACGATGAACCAAGCTGGCTGTGTTCGCATGTGCAGAGTGCAAGCAGCACGTGCGGATTAGATGGGGAAGGTTGATCCTTCTCCACAACAACTTGGAGTGCTACGTCTATATGGCAGAACTTGTCTTGACAGTAGTGCAGCACATTTTCAGTTAGATCATCTTGTTTGGCAGTGAAATAGTTCTATCAGCGGAAGCAACAGCGTTTGCTCCCGGGGTACCTCTATCAGCGGAAGCACCAACGTTTGTTCCCGGAGGACTTCAGCGCAATCAGCAGGCCGCGGCTCCGGGCCCAGCCCCAGCGTCGCCAACGCGGCATCAGCCGCAGGTTTTTGATCCGCCGGCGTCGCCTGGGTTGGAACTAGCGCAGAAGGCGTATGCAGATATCAACAATAAGTGGTGCGAGGTCAATGTCTTGGGCCACCAGGGTGGGATGATCCTTGTGCAATGGACTGGCGGTGAGTCGCAGCAACTGTGCAGTGCGGCGTTGCCGCGGAGCCATGTCCGGACACTTGTGGAGCACAACAGTTTTAAAGGGCAGTTCCTTATTGCGCAGTTTCCCATGATTTCGCGTTTCTTCGCTACGCCCGCACGAAGCGCCGCGCCGGCCTCGAGCCGCATCCGAGAGTCGTGGTCGGCGCACTGGAGTTCACCTAACCACGCGTCTCCGCTTACATACTCCCCTCCTAATATAACCTAAAGTCACGGGCCAATCGCACGCGGCAGGGACCGGCCGGTAATACCTTGCAAATCAGTCAAACGGATAACAATATATCCGTTTGACTGAAAACCTATTATCGCCACCCTTCTTTACAATGAAGAAAGCGCGAAAGGCTGCGCTCGACGCAACGCTGCGCCGCGAAATCGAAGAATCGAAACCGCAGTCCATCCGAGGCTGTCTCAGGCACGACAAGGCACACGAACTTCTCCGAGATGTTTATCATCTCGGAGAGAGAAAAAGCCGCACGTCTCTAATCAACTCAGCCATGGACAGGCTGAAGAAAAGGGGCGTGACAAGGGACGTTACAACGACAGCAAGCGAGGCCCTGCGGCTAGAAGAATCTAACTCCGCTCCCGTCGCAGGTGCGTTGGCCTCCCAGGGCGACTTCGTCGCAGTGGAGCTAAATGGTTACAAAGCACCTGTAAATGCGCTTGTGGTAAGGGAAGATGCAAAAGAAGTGGTGGTTGAGTTCGAGGCAGACAGAGTGAGAGCAGTGTATGACAGAGACTCGCAGGACATTGTTGCTTTAACAAAAACTGAGCAAAAACAAAGCGAGGAATTGAGGCATGTCCATGAAAGGGCACAACATCTAGTTGAATATTTCGACGAGAGACTGTCTGGAGGAAAGAGGAAGAAAGCTGGTGTTTCAGTTTTCCCACCCCAAGTGGGAAGAGACAAACTGCCCAATCCGGCAGATGCACCGAGGCTGTACAAGTACATCGTCATCGAGGTTGGTTCGGGAAGTGCAGCCCTTGCACAGGCGATATTTATCAAGGGAAATGGTCTAATAGGAGTCTACACGATCGATTGGGATGACAGGAGATTTGCGCACCTAAAGGAAGATTTGAGAAACTTGGATTTCAGCAAGCTACTGACCATGTTCCCACAGCTCATCCATGTGCATTGCACATGGGACTGCAAGGCAAATTCGCCCGCCGGGCAACAGCAACATCCAGTGTCCCACCTTTCTTATCTTTGATACATGCTAGCTCATAGGACCTACGGCAAAAAGGCCAAAGCAAAGGGCTTAAAGCCAGATAAAGCACGAATTGTCCACATAGCGGAAGGGTGCGCAACAATGTGGAAAAAGGCCATCAACGATACGCGACGGCTGAGCCCCTTTGTGACATTTTCATGGGAACACCCAACAGGGGTTGTCCACAAGCAGCCCTGGTTCCAGGACATGATCACACTCAACCTCCGGCGCTGCCGAGCATGCGCCCGAGCCGCAAAAGCGCTTCCACCCAACCGACAGCAACCCAATCGTAGGTATCTATGTGCAAGCTTTGTGGCACCAAGTTCGAAAAAACCCTGGAGATCCTCACTGACATCGCCGACTTCCCAGAGGACGACTACTTCTGTACCCCCTGCTCGCCGTGCAAGTGGATCGAGAACCAGCCTACCAACAAGCATCCCGAGAGGCTGGAGTATGCCACCGAGACAGCCACCTACGAGCCAGGCTTCTGCGACTTTTTAGGCGACGCCATCCTCAAACACCACAACATCCCGATCTCCACCCAGAAGCCACCCTCCGACCGCGTGCGCCGTGCCAGCCGTAAGGAGCGCTAGATGTATCCTGTTTACATAGACTACTGCTAAAGACAACTGCCAATGCGGCTTTGACTATCGTAAATCCACCTGAATCCAAGGCTTCACGACACGCCAAACCTCCAAATAAGGCGTGAAACAATGCAAAATGGGACGTAAAGTCAGCATACGCGCAATTGGAGTTCCTTATGTTGGAGATTCCCCCATTAGTAGAGGTAGTCGCGCGACGCGAGTGCCGCCTGGAGCTCGAGCGCGTGCGGCGCGCCGCTCAGGAGCCGCAGCGCCTCGAGCTCCGACGCGACGTTGCGCACCTCCTGGCGCGTCTTCGCGTCCCGCTTCGAGATGCGCTTGACGGCGCACGGGCGCCCGTCGGGCCAGGTGCCCTCGAACACGCCGCTGCACGCGCCCGAGCCGAGCTTCGCGCCCGTCGCCACGTCGCCGACGCGGTGGGCCTCCTCGACGAGCGACTCGTCGACCGCGGGCAGCCCCACGGCGAGCCCAGCGTCATGCGCAAGCACGGCCTTGCTCCAGAGGAGTTCCTGGTGCACCTCCTTGAGGGAGTCGTACTGGCGCCGCTGGATCTTCAAGTTCTCGCAGAGGCGCTCGTACTGGCGGATGCGCACGTCCTGGGCCTCCACGGACATGTCGCCGGCGACCTCCGTGTTCGGAAACCCATTGGAGGTGTTCTCGGGGGCTGCCATGATCCACACGTGTCTGTCAGAATGCTCAAGTCGAAATGCCGACGTCGAAATTCGATGGTCACTTAACCTTCAAGGTAAGCTGTGGCTATAATCTGCTCGCTTACCTTCAAGTTAAGCGGTGGCTATTGCTTGACGTCAATGTTCAATGTGGGTTTTTATGCCACATCATCTAGTTTGAGGATATCTTTGCTACACATACACAGAACGAACGGTTCATTATTCGGGATTCGGACAAATGATAATTGAGGGGGTTGAACGATGGTCGAGCGATATCTGACGCTGCGTTTGGCATGTTCCGGGCCACTGTGGAAGAAACCGAGAGCACTTCGCCGTACGAAGTCGGGGTCGGCGGTCTCGAAAAGTCACTCCATGTCGAGCGAGAGGCAGCAGAAGTCGAACACGCTACGGTGGACGCGTCGCGCGGCGCTGGGGGGCGGGGAACAGAGATCTCAGCTTCTGCGTGTTCCCCCACGAGATGGACTGAAGTTTCAGGATCTCTGACCCCGAGTTCCTACGGCGAACTACTCTCTTTTTCTTCCCCTGTGAACCATAACATGCCCAACGCAGCGTCAGAGATCGTTGGACCATGCTTGAAAGCTAGCGTGCTAAGCTTCTGTCCGACCAATGTGATCAGCCGATTGGATTCTTGGAAAATATATCATTCGTTCTCTACATGCAGGTCAAAATCACCGGGGGTATCCCGAGAATATCCCCCAATAACCCGAGAGTATAGCCCCCTCCCCCCCCCCGGCTTTACCCCCGCACGCGATGATGATGATGATGGCGCTTATGATGACGATGATGATGATGATGATGATGATGATGATGGTGGTGTAATTGAATTTAAATTACACCGCGCAACCGCCTAATGGAAAGTTGTCATACACTTGGGGCTGGTTTCTGCTCCTCACGGCATAAATGTGCCAGTTCCCATTGGTTATTTTATTAACACCGCCCCGAATAGCCCCCTATAACGAGGGGGGGGGTTATGGGGTGGATATCATATGAGAGAGGGAGCTTAGCTAGTAAACTAGGGTAGTGGGGTGGGCCTTGAGGCTCACTCAACTTACCCTTTATGCCAAATTATTATCTTGATTGACTAGGATTTGGCACGCGCTGCTGCTCGCGGCCGCGGGCGGCGGCGCGCCGCCGTCCGTCTCGCGGAACTGGAGGAGCCAGACGACCTCGGACTGGAAGTATTTCTCGGACACGTAGAGCCAATCCTTCTCCGGGAAGTCCTCGGGCACGAGGGTGACGGCGTCGCCGAGGTCCTCGAACTCGCCGATGTCGCCCGCGTCCTCGATGTTGAGCTTCTTGCCCGGCACGATGGGCGGGTACTCGGGCTTGCCCTCGCCGATCTCCTCCGGGTCCGGGTCCGCGCGCATGAGCTCCCAGTCCAGCGGCTTGTACCACTCGTGGTTCATGATGTCCTTGATCTTGACCCGTTTCTCAGGGTCGCGGCACAGGATCTTTTTGCACAGGTCCGTGAACTCGGGGCTGAAGTGGCTCGGCCACTCGACATCCATCTCACAGGTCGCCATGTTCACGGCCTTTTGCAGGTTCGTCTCGCCCTTGAACTTGTTCGCCTCCTCCGTGCGGAACGGGCCCACGCCGTTGACCATCTCGTAGATCATGCAGCCGAAGGACCACCAGTCCACGGACTGGTCGTAGGGTTTGTGCTGGAGCATCTCCGGTGCCAGATAGCCCGGCGTGCCCGCGATGCCCTTGAGGCCCGGCGCCAGGGGCACGGCGAGGCCCAGGTCCGAGAGCCGCGTCCGCCCGTCGCCGTCGACGAGCACGTTCTCCGGCTTTAAATCGCGGTAGACGATCTTCGCCTCGTGCATGACCTCGAGCCCTAAAACCACGCGCGCGCTGTAGTAGCGCACGAAGTTCTCGGGCATCTTGCGGCCCTCGGCCTTGTCGAGGTGGAACGACAGGTCGCCGCCCATCATGAGGTCGATGACGAGGCAGAGCGCGGCCTCCGTCTTGAAGGCATACTTCATGTTCACGCAGAAGGGCGAGTCGCACACGAGCGGGATCGACAGCGCCCAGTGCTCCTGGTCGCAGAGCGTCTTGCACTTCTTCTGCTTCACGTGCTTCATGTCCATCTCCTTCATGGCGTACATGCGCCCCGTCGTGAACGTCCGGCAGCCCTTCACGAGGCCGAAGCCGCCCTTGCCCATGGTCCGGAAGACGTTGAACGTCTTCTCCGTGGGGGGCACCTCATGCTGGATCTTGAGGTAGCGCAGGTACTCCAGTAATTTTGGGTTCGTGCCTTTGTTGAGCCAGAGCGGCAGCGCGACCTTCTCGCAGTAGTCGACGAGCAGCGCCTCGATGAGGTCGAACTGGGACTGGGCTGGCGCGCCGGGGTTGACCAAAGACCGGCCCATGAGCACAGGCCAGAAGGACTCCGACGTCGACGCGATGGGTGCGCACGGGCTCATCTCGCTAGCGGACTCACGCTGCATGTTGCCGACGTTTCCCTCCTTGATGTGCGTTTGATACAGCGTCTTGTTGCCCATGGGCGGCCGCACCTTGCGGCACATGTTGCTGTCGACGTACGCTGGCTTCATCTCGTTCACCGATGAGTTCATCTCCGGCAAGAAGCTCGACATAATTTTGTCCTTCTGCTTCTGAATGTGCTTCCCGCGCGCGAGTTTCAGGGTCGCAACCTCGACGATGAACTGGCCCACGTTGTGGAACGTCTTCTCCGTATGCCGTGACATCCACAGCGTAAACATCCAGAAGCCGAGCGGGCCCTTCAAAATGTTCTCCATCGTCAGGTAGCCGCTATCCTCGGCGCGGCCGAAGAAAGCCATGAGCTCGTCCTCCGGGAACTTCGCATACTCCTCCCGCGGGTCGGGGTAATCGCTCGACTGCATCGCGCTGCCGAGCTTGACGCCTGAGCGTAGAGGGCGCGGGTTTGTTTCGCGAACTGTTCACACCCTCGCGCGGCGTGGCCGCCAAACCCTACACCACCACGGCCGGCGCAATGCGCAGCCCGCGGTGGCGCTGGCGGCACGATGCGGCGGCGAAGGAAGAAACACGCGGATCCATCGTCGACGCCGGGCCGCACTATCCATAATGTCTCCGATATCCATGCCCGGATCGACCCAGCAGCCCGGCCCTACCCGATCACTGCGCCGCGACGACCAATGCCGATCGATTCCGGAATCGCCCGCCCGGCGCTAAACGACTAATCCTGAGTGCAGGTGATATTAAGGAATGATACAAGATATAGAATGATATAGTTGGATTAGGAGCTGGGTGTTGCCTTCAACATGGGCTCCACCCAGCTCGGGACTAGCCTAGTCTAGGACCTGGATGGGTGAAGATTTTCCTGGGGTGCGCTCAGGCGCACAATAATAGAAAAGGATGTCAGCGACAGACGATAACTCGTACTCGAGTGCGAGATATATCTTCTGTCTCTCTCCTCTGTATCCTGAATATCCTGGCTGATATATCCTGGCGGCTATATCACCTGCGCATATTAAGGAATGATACTAGATATTGAATGATATAGTTGGATTAGGAGCTGGGTGTTGCCTTCAACATGGGCTCCACCCAGCCGCCAGAGCGACTCGACGTCGCAGAGGCAAGACCAAATAAAACTGTATGGGCTTCGCTATGTGACCCAAATTGATGCAATATTAAGAATTGGACCACCAGAGAAGATTGTATGCCAAGTACTTTCTTGAGAAAACCAGCATCAATGTAGGAAGCGCATCATGCGAATGGAAACCCGGTGTGAAGAATTATAAAGTGTCTCCACGGGAAAGTAAGGCCCCACCAGTGCCCAGAGCACCACGTCCTGGAGCAGGGGCAGCGTCGAATACGAATCAATCAGACTCAAATGGACCTAAGGATCCTGAATTCTGGCAAAGTGAATCAGGTCAAGAATATGCAAACAAAGCTAGGGTCAAAGCGGCTGAACTTTTAGCGAAGTTTGATTTGGTCATAGATGATAACGAGATTGTTAGAGCAAGTCTCGTCTGTTGGAATTGTGGAAGCTTCCACATGAAAACAGGATTAAAACAAAAGAAAGATGTTAAAGTTGATCTGCGAATTCCATGCTCTTGGATGAAACAGCATGGTAACCTGCCAAAGAACGTGATGACAGTGCGTAAGGCTGTTATTGACGCAGGCAAGGACGCCGTTCTGCCTAAAGGCTGGAGAGATAGAGAGAAGCCCAAAGGAGGAGCCAATGGTACTGGCAGTCCACCTGAAGAGCCACCAAAGGATGATCCAGATGCAGGTATAAGGAATCAGCCACTGAGGCTGCCAGGCAGTGCAAATTTTACCGTAGCAAACGAAGCTTTGCATGATATGTGCCGCAGCCATCGCCTTGATGATGAAGCTGTGCGTGACCTCTACCTATGCAGGCGAAGTGAATTTACCCATGCAGACGAAGTTTTGCGTGTTAAACGGAAATTTCAGGAACAGGTTCAGTCAAAACACAGCAGTTCAGTTGATGGACTCCGTCACTGACGGAACCTTGTGGAGTGCTGACCAGCATCCACAGAAAGATACTGAGGCTGAGGGAGCAGCTGCGAACTCAACCGAAACAACCGCGGAGGCCGAAGTTTGGCCACCGTGGAAAAACGCCGACAGGGATGAGCGAGGGCTACCGTTGCCTGACCAACCCAAAGACTTAGGCGTCGACGATCAGTGGCGAGTAAAACCTGCTACGGATCAAGAATTAATTGACACCATGAAAAGGATTGGTGTGACAGATAACCCAGTGCTCGGGGACTCCATGAAGCAGCACTTCAAAGAGATGATAGCGTACTGTTGGGGTATGTTTGATAAAACCCTTAGACCGGTAGACTCAGACCCGGTTGGGATTCAGTTCTTAGACCCCCGACAGCAGCCTATTAAACTACAGCCATACAGACTCAATGCCCCTAAACTAGCCTTCTTGAAAGACACAATTCAGGAATGGATACGAGATGGAATCATCAGACCGTCAGAGTCCCCTTGGGGGTTCCCAGTGGTCATTGTGCCCAAACCGCAAAATAAGGGCTGGAGAATGTGTGTTGATCTCAGGAAGCTAAATGAAACTATCAAGCATGACTCGTACCAATCCCCGAGGAACGACGATGCACTGGCGTGGTTAGCCACGAAACCTATCAGGTCTACCCTGGACATTAGGTGGGGCTATCACAATTTGATGTTAAATGCGGAAGCGCAGGAGGCGATGACCTTCACCACTCAGTTAGGGTCCTACAGCTACGTAAGGTTGCCGTTTGGACTAGCTACAGCAGGCGCGTTGTTCCAACGTTATATGAATCAGTGTTTAGATCGCTGGTTGTGGACCGATGTGGTCGCTGTAGTAGATGATGTAGCAATGGGTAGTTCGGATGAGGAACACCATTTGCGACTGGTTACCGACGTCGTGTGTACGTTAGCAGCCAAAGGATTCTCTGTGAAGGCAGAGAAAATGCAGCTTTTTGTTAAGGATTTCGTGTTCTTAGGGCATCTCAGCACACCGACTGGGTTGAAACCAACTCCGCACCTGCTGGAAGCCATCAAGGACATGCCGGTTCCTGATCCTGCGGGAGAAGATCCTAAGAAGAAGTTACGCAGTTTCCTTGGACTAGCGTCATACGTGAGGAAATTTATTAAGAACTTCGCTACCATAGTGCAGCCGATGAACAGGCTTTTGGAGACCGGAGTCCCTTTCGAATGGTGTGACAAATGCCAATCTGGATGGGATGCGGTGATCCATGCATTGTGCGAGACGAACGGCGTTCACCCCCCAGATTACAACTTGCCCCTGTACATCCGAACCGACGCGTGCTGCGAAGGATTGGGTGCTTACTTGTTTCAAATCGTTGAGACCAAGGCTGAGAGGAATGGCAAGCAGGTGACTCTGAAACATGAACGCGTGATTGAATACTGGAGCCGTAGCGTTCCAAAGCCAATGAGATGTTACGATGCTAGGCGTCTTGAACTCTTGGCGGTGATAATGGGTCTAGAACACTTCAAGCCTTACATAGACGGAGTGAAGGTGTTCCTGGATACCGATCACAAAAACTTGACCTTCATATCCAATATCAAGCACTCGTCAGGGCAGTTAGCTCGATGGGCAATGAGATTGAGTGAATACAATTATGAACTTAGATACAGACCTGGGATTAAAATGGAGGTAGCGGACTGCTTGAGCCGCAACTCTTTGGCCCAGGAAATCACAGATGAAGAAATGGCAATTATCATGTCAACTTATTGTGTGAACATTTCCCAGATTAAGCTAGGTGAGATGGACACGAATGGATTGCGCAGCAGCGGGGCCGAGTTTATGGTCACGTGGGGCGAAAGCCTCCAGCACGGCGCAGTAGGCGAAACCAACCTGACAGAAGCGTTCTCAAAAGAAACACTCTCTAACGAGGGCGTTGAGATTCAAATTTTGAAGGGGGTGGCCATGCCTACGATTAGTGAAAATGATGATGAAAGCAAAGAAACAGACAGTTCGCAGGATCAAGAAACCCTGAAAGAAATAGACCAAGCTAAAAGAGACCGGATCGCGTTGCAAGCAAGCGACACGATCACAGATAAACAATATCAAGATGCGGCTGTCGACGACCCATTTTTCTTAAAGATACAAAAACAACTTAACGCCAGTGACCCCAGCAAAAAGGCGAAGGCGCAGGAGCGTTGGTTGATAGATGACGGTATACTGTGGCAGCGTGAGGATGGTAAAAAGGAGCTCAAGTACGTGCCAGTCACGTTACGAAGAGAGGAAATCCGCATCCATCATGACTCAGACTTTAACCAGCATGCAGGTCGAGACAGTACCCTTCAAGACTTGAAACAGAGATTATATTGGCCAAACATGGACGCTGACGTGGGACGATATGTCCGACATTGTCTATGGCTGCCGAAAAAAGCGGGCAAACTGCAGCAAACCTTACACCAGCATAGCGGGAGTTTACTCTCCATAGACTTGGTGGGGCCACTGCGACGCACTACGGAGCACCAGTATTGTTACGTACTGACGATGATGGATGCATTTAGCCATCATCTAACAGCAGTTCCGATTAAGTCAAAGAGCGCAGTTGATGTGCTTGAAGCTTTTGTACAGAACATTGTTCTCCAAGGACTTTTGCCTTCTCGGTTGGTCTCCGTTAAGGGTGGCAGAAGAAAAATAGTAAAGGGCTCCGTTGTTTCTGACAACGGGACCGAGTTCAAAAATGAGCTCATGCAAAACTTTTTAGAGTTGTTTAAGGTCAGGTTCGGGTATTCTATTCCGTACCACCCTCAGAGCAACCCGGTGGAACGTGTTCACCGTTATTTGGGATCGTCTTTGCGTATTGCATTAGGCAAGAGTAACAAGATTCATGATAATTGGGATGAAGTCCTACCGTATATAGTATTCAGTTACAACAAAAAGTTCATCCCCGGGACGACTATTAGCCCCTTTTTGATGCGCAATGGGTTCGAGCCAGCCTATCCAGAAGATCTGGCTGTGAAAGAACTTGTGTTCCAGACGGCGTTCGGCATCACCTTGCCGAAATCAGACCTGTGCGCCCGGTCGAACTCGAGCCCGGCCCACTAGTAGGAGTACTGACTCCACTATCATCATCCAGCTAAATAAAACTGCTGGCTGTATTTTATGTTTCCAAATAAAGAATTTAATGATCTGATGGATGGTATTCTATTAAGATTTCCCCTTGAGGATGAAGATGCCTTTTTCGGTGAATCGTCCTTAGTGGGGAGCTCTTGCGAAAGTCAATAACCTCGGGGATGCTTGCGCCTCGCGATCAAGCACGAGCTGGCTAGTGCCGCGTTGTTTCATGATTGGCTTCGAACGGTTTTTGGTTCCCCTGGTCCTGGTGAATTGCCAGGAGTCGAACAATTGCTATAAATATGTGATCACACTCGAAGACGAAGCTGGCGATGGCTGGTTCGGAAATTCATACCATATCAAAGATGATTCTGGGCTCGTCGTTGCGTCTGGAACTTTGAATTTTGAACAAGCTTATGAGCAGGAGCGCGCCTGCTTGCAAAATGGTTGTCATAGTTTCTCTATCGTCGGCAATCCTTACGGTGGTCGGGATGAAATTGCGTGGTCCCTTGGTGAAGTAAAGACGCCATCTGTCGTCGTATTATTGGACCCATACTCAACTACTGAGCTGTGT